ATAGAATCATAGAATCATTAGGGTTGGAAAGGACCTCAAGATCATCTAGTTCCAACCCCCCTGCCATGGGCAAGGACACCTCACACTAAACCATGGCACCCAAGGCTCTGTCCAACCTGGCCTTGAACACCGCCAGGGATGGAGCATTCACAGCTTCCTTGAGCAACCCATTCCAGTGCCTCACCACCCTAACAGGAAAGAACTTCTTCCTTATATCCAATCTAAACTCCCCCTGTTTAAGTTTTAACCCATTACCCCTTGTCCTATCACCACAGTCCCTGATGAAGAGTCCCTCCCCAGCATCCTTGTAGGCCCACTTCAGATACTGGAAGTCTCCAAGCTATGAAGTCTCCATGCAGCCTTCTCTTCTCCAGGCTGAACAGGAGGTGCTCCAGTCCCCTGATCATCCTCGTGGCCCTTCTCTGGACTTGTTCCAACAGTTCCGTGTCCTTTTTCTGTTGAGGACACCAGAACTGCACACAATACTCCAGGTGAGGTCTCACGAGAGCAGAGTAGAGGGGCAGGATCACCTCCTTCGACCTGCTGGTCACGCAGCTTCCCTCCCCTCTCCCAGCAAAATAAGCAATGCCATGCTCATGTCCTCATGCATGAGCTTGGTCTGCTCAGAGTGCAGGAGAGGTTATTTATGTTCATTAGATCTCTGGATGAATTGTCAGGACAGAAGAAGCAATGACTAATCTCTGTGTGGCTTTTCTTCTGCATTAATCATAGAATCATAGAATCAACTTGGCTGGAAAAGGCCTTTAAGATCATCAAATCCAGCCATTACCCCAGGACTGCCAAGTCTACCACTTTAGTTGTTTTATTGTGTAAACTGCGTATCAGATGCCACCATTTTTCTTTCACCCATTTTGCACAGTGCAGAGACTATTGCTAGGTCATTGTGGGAGGGTCCTTGTGCTGCACCGTATTGTGAGTTACTGCTGTCACCTAAAATCTGGTTATGAGGAGTTACGATCCGCAGCATTAGGGAGGCAGGATGAGATGCAGCCTGCAGGCTGTCACTGCAGCTTTGCTCCTCAGAGCCATTTGCCAGCTTTCCATCTGCGTTGTGAAGTTACAGAAGAGGATTCAGAGACTTCCCACTTCCAGTCTTCAATTGCTCTTGCATCCCAGAAGTCTTTCCCAGCAGTTTGGATTTTCACTTTGTGGCCTGTATTTAAACCTAACATCTGCGGAGCAGCTCCCTTTGGCTTTCTGTGGTTTCTGAAGGGACAAGTATTGCTGTAGGGAGGTCCTCAAAAACTCCCACCACCAAATTGGTGCCAGATACTTGTTCTCAAGCAGCTAGTTCCCACTTTGCTGCTGATAGTGCTGTACACATTTGTGTTTCTTAGTTCTCCTTTGCAAGCTGATGCTTGATGTCCTAGTCATTTCAGTTATTTGCTTGTGTTTTAGTGTGTCTTTGCTTGGGGTTATTTTTCTTACTGGTATTAGGGTGTATTTTTCTGCCTAGGCTAGATTCTTTTTCTTTGCCATGGATAATCAGTTTTGCCCTCAAGAGAAAGGGGCTCAGACAGCCTTTATCATTGGGCCTACCTTCCATTTAGAAATGGATGGTTTCTTCCCCATTCTTTTCAAACCTCAAAAAGTAGTTGGATTTGGAGATACAAGTGTGTCCAAAAGAGAAGGGCGTTCCCTGCCTCTTAGCCAAAACTAAGAGAAAGGGATGGTGAACTTTCTCCTGTGCCCATGCTGGATTTGTGGTCCATATTCTTATGACATGAATTTGACCATAGCCCCTTAGTCTGATGTTTTCTAGCTGGTTCTTATTTTTCTTCTCTGTGCCTTGCTTTGGTCCTCTAAGTAACTCATCAGATGCACTCAGCTCTACCTGTTGATTACAGAGAGGGCTGGCAGTGGCACTTAGGAGAACAGAATTAAAATAGGGCTGTTCGGGTTTTTTTCCTTCATCTTGTTCAGCTTTGTGGAGGTCTGAAAGATCCAGGAGGTGCTAGGAGAGTTAGCTAAACGTGAAAGAGAGCAAAATCAAGAAGCCAAACTTATAATCCTACAGGGATGCTATTCCCATAATGTGTAGAAATACCTTTGTGCAGATTGTTAGCTGCTGGGGCAGCACTTAGGCATGTGGGATAACCTGATTAGAGTATCAAAGAAAACCCTGTTAGCTCCACAGGCCAAATCCTGCCTTAGAGCAACCTGAGGTCAAATGGGTGTGAATCAAGGAAGCTTTCCCTTTGGCATCTTCTGGTAACACCTTGAAGGGTCTGAGCCAGGGCTCTAGCAGGGGAAGAGGCTTAAGCAAATATGCTCCCAGACAGGGAGTGAACTGAAGTCTGAAGCTAATGACTTTGTTTTTCTTCACTGGTACAGTCTTAGAAGGATGAAAAGAATACATTTCTTAGGTCTGATTTTCTGGTTGTATGGAAGGCTTAATCAGTAGTTGGTTAATTTAAAATGCTTGTCTCAGTTGCAGGAATGTCAAACAGTACAGCTGAGCTGAGATTTGGGAGCAGAAGACATATGTTTTCTGAAGGCATAATCCAGAAGCATGATTACCTGCTCTCCTGGTCATGGCAAAACTCCCACCAAAGTCAGCGTTAACACAAGATATCAGACAAGATGATTGTCATGATTCCTTGTGGTCCTAAACTGTGTGTCTGAAATGTGTGAGTAGGAGTTGTATCAAATCCTTTGCAGGGTAGATTACAGCTGCAGGTCTCTGCTGTGTTCATGACACCAGGTAGGCTGTACTCAGCATTACTGTCTGCAGCGCTGTTATACATGGGCTGCAGTAGGAGGGGGTACCTGCTTAGCAGATCACCCCCAACATGCAGGTAAGCCATGAAACTCATGGCCATGTTGAGGGTGCTCAATGTTTATTAGAATTCAAAAAGCAATTGAGAAAGTTCATGGGAGAAACATTAACTTGAGGCTAAGTATGGAGAAGCCAAGTTCTGGCTCAGGAAGTCCCTAAGCCAGAAATTGCTGGAGGCTGGAAGCATATCCTCAGGAATTGCTGTGTTTTGCTTATCCTGTTCTCATAGTTTGGCCTCTGTTGTTGGCAGCTGTTGGAAATGAAGCAAGTGGTGACTTGGTGAGGCAAATGCTCCATACCTACACATATTCAGAAGATGTCAATAGCAAATGCCTCACACCATCTTCTGTCAGTATCTGCCAGTATGCTGCGTTTCTTCCTTGGCTATATAGAAAACAGCATGGATGCAGACTGAGGTGATGTGATCTGCTTATGCAAAGCAAAATGGTAAATTTGCTAGGTTATTTCTCCAAGGAGAAAATTATTGACCTTGCTTTTCCTGGCATACCAGCTACTGTTATAATGATGATGATGGTGACGGCAACCAGACAGAAAGGCCAGCAATAATTCTTTCCTGCCCATTATTACAAGGCATAAAGCAAAATCCAGTCTGAAACCAGTGCTAGTCTATCTGTGCTCTCTTTCCAAATCTGTGAGGCAGTTCTTAAATGGGTTGATTTTAGGACTTTTCATACTGACCTTTCCAAAACCAGTCCTTTTGATCTTCTGATATGAACCTATGTATTTTATGTTTGTATCTTACTAGTGAGTTGCAGCCTAGAGATAATGTCCGATAGCAAATATGCGAGTGTAGAAGTAACCTCTCCGACCTCCTGGTGACTCACCTCCTGACAATACATTCTGGCTGCACATGTAAGGTCTGGATCTTGCCCCTGAGAATATTGGCTCAAAGAAGCAGTAACAATGCGGTCAGTCAAAGCACTACTTTCCCTGGGAATTTTGTTGCATGAGGAAGCAGAAGAACTTTAGCCTCCTGTGTTTGTCAACATGAGCTGCCTTCCAGCAGCTTTTTATATTTCTGGCCCATTAGATTTTTTTTCCTTTCCTTCCCTCCACCCTCCTTATTTCTGTCTATCTTAATCAATATTGTAATCATGGACTTTCTATCTCACCAAAGATTCAAGCACTGGTTGATAACATTATTTGATAACTTCAGATGCATCAAGCAGGAGTAGCAGGTGGAGTTTGCTTTCCTAAAGTCCAGGGAAATGGCTGAAATCATGGCCACAGATTTATTGTTTGCATCTATGTGGGTTGCACCCTCCATTCATTTAATGTGGCTTTAAGGTGCTTTGTTTGAAAGGGTAGATTGCACAGCTGGTGTCAGAAGGGCTGGCGTGGCTCACAGACAACCATCTGAAGCAAAATTATCTTGGAGTTTCTGTAATTAACTGCAAGGGTGAGTGAGGCTTGGAATTGTATGAATCGTTCAGTGGATCCCACTTGAAAGGTGTGGAGTTTTTTGGCTTCAGCACTCTAGGAGCAGGCCAGTGTGTAAAACCTGTGCAGCAAGTATCATGGCCTTAGAGCTGGCATTTCACAGCCATTATCTGAAACATAGTGGCCCAGAGATAAATGAACAGTTTAGGTCATCCTGGACTCCTGTCCTTGTGATGCTTTCATTGCAGACACTGCTTTATTCTCTCCTCAGACTCAACGGTAGTCTCCGTGGTGGGAGAGGAAGATCAAGATTTTCTTACAAGGCAGATAAGGATCCTTTATGGGAGCTGGATTGGCAGAGCAGTTAGGGGGTCTCCACATAGCCCCAGGAGTTTGGCAGCTTTGCACTGTGGAGGTTGTCTCTAGTCAACTCAGCTGCAAAAGGTCATTCAGACTGCGCAGTCCTGAGGCAAAAACCCAGGAGTGCATGCTGCATAACTCCTTCAGGTTCTTGGCTACAGAAGCTGTAATGGCTTACATACACATACCTGATGGGCCATCTCTGCTCAGTTATTAGAGCTGCTGAGAGAAGGTTCTGATTTCTGTTCTCACAATATTCTTAAGGTTTGACCCAGGCACCATGGTGTTACCGTACTCTTTGTCGACTATACTGCACTTATTTAAAAATGAAAACAAAGTACGTAAAGCTTCCAGGTAGACCAGCAGCAACCTCCAGCTGACCTTTGTAAATGTCGTGCTTAGGTGGTGTTCACGTCTGCTGTGTACATTTTGTTTGCAGAACACACTGGAGCGATGCAGCGTCTGCGCAAAGCCCATCATGGAAAGGATTCTGCGAGCCACTGGGAAGGCCTATCATCCCCACTGCTTCACCTGTGTGATGTGCCATCGCAGCCTGGATGGGATTCCCTTCACCGTGGATGCCGGTGGGAACATCCACTGCATCGAGGATTTCCATAAGTATGGCTTATTGTCTTTCTCTCCCTAAAAATCCTCCTTTTTTTAGTCCAAGTGTCCAAAAAGATCTAAACCCTCTGCCACTTCATCCCAAGGCTCTTAAAGAGTAGGCAGAGCTTTGTTCCAAGCAGGCACACCCCATTGGCATAAAAGATTAATTGGTTAGGGATGCTGCTTGATCTCTGTTTTGCTAAGGTCTAAATTTCTGGATAACTTCTGTGTGCCTCCATTTCAACTGCTCTGCATTCCCCCTGCCATCTCATGCCCTTAGCATGTGCACATTTCTCCTCACTGCCTGTACCTGCATTTCCACACTGGTGTCTTCCTGCCTCTTCCACCAAGCAACTAAGAGAGGTCCTGTGCTGTTGCACTCTGCAGGTGTTTGCTTACTGGCCAGAGGGATCTAGGTGGCCACAGGATGCTCACAGCTCCTTTTCTTTCTAGTTGATAATTAGCTTTTTTAAGCTGCTAAAAATACAGCCCTGGCAATAATTTATGGTGAAACTGTTATTTAAAGTAAGTTGAACAGTATAGTTGCAAGTAGTTTCTGTCACTGCCATGCTACCACCCCCATCATCACGACTAATCTAGAGAAGACAGGTAGATATAATCAGCACAAATGTTTCCCCTGTATGGAAAAGACAGACACATTACACCCCTCAATTAAAAAAGGAAATCAATACTGACAAATGTGAGTTTACATCGCAACCATTTATCTCTTAATTTCTAAGGGGGTAGATTTAATTAGAGCCTTATGACATCAATGTGGGGGCCTGAAAGCTCAAAGAAGCAGGCTGACTTGACAGAAAGGGAAGCAGCCACAATCAACTGGCATGTTAAAATCCAACATGAGGATATTCCCCGTAGCTCACAGAGGCTGGGTTAATTGGCAGTTGCTGTGTTGCCTTCTTTTCTGTTCCAGCAGTTGTGTATAAGGTAAAATTTGATCCTGAGCACAGGCCCAACAGAAGGTTTACATGCCACTCAGGCTCCTGAAAGATTTCCCTCACACCCTCTTAAAACTGGGAGACTGCTCCTTCCCCAAGTCCCACAGGCCGAGGGCTTACATGCAGGTTGGAAGCAGTTGAAGTCTTCTGGCAGTGACTGGATGTGGACCTCAGAGCTCTGAGAATGGGAAGTAGGAGGCTGTCAATCCAAGGAAAGAGCACAAAATCATTGAGTGAAAGACTGAGGGAAGGTACGGGAATAGCACAAGACCTAATCTGACACTCAGAATGTCTTTGGCCAGCCACGTGTTTAGTGGTACTTCATCCAGCCCAGTTTCAATTAAGAATGACACATCCTCCTGGTCTGGAGGTTGGGTGCTGTACATCTTGTACATCCTCTTGATAACAAAACTATAGCTGAAGCGTACACTGTCACTTAGCTGAGCTAAGGCCCCACAGTAGCACATCCACATCTCCTGATATCTGCAGGAGTCATCTCTGGGTCCTGGGAATTTGGCTCATCATTACCCGCAGTGGCCTGGACAAAGAAATGTTGAAGCATTTTTAAGCACCGTATTTGAGCTAAATGGCAGAAGGAAGCACCTGCATGAAGCAGCATATAATTAACTGCTATTACAGCTCCAGTCATATATCCATTTAAGTTATTTTTCAGAGTGCTCGCTATAGCCACTGTTTAATTCATTTTTTCGTTAGATCGCAGCTACCCAGACATCTTTCATCTGCTGCCAGGGAAATTAATATTTTTCTTTATTCCTAGTACAGATAGATTTTTTTTTTCTTTTTCTTTTCTAAGCTAGTTAATTCTGAGGTGGTTCATGTGACAGGCTGGGTGGCAGTGTCAATCTTGCCTAGGCATTTCAAAAGAGAAGAGCCTTTGATCTCCTTGTGTTCTGATGTTTGCCATAAGCACTACCCTCTGTTGCTCCATAGCCCATGACCCCAGCACTCATTACATGGCAGCAGATTCTGTAGGTGATGAGAGCAGAATTTGCAGTCAGGGGTTGGTACCCTTAGGTCTTCAGCAAGATAATAATTCGCCACAGGCTAAATGTTCCCAAGCATCCCCACCTGCCTAGGAGCAGAGATGACCACTTCTCATGGGCAACCGAGGGGAGAGCGAAACCACAGCTAATACAGAACATATGTGAATTGCACAGAAGGTCAAATGGTGGGCAGTATAAGGGGGAAAAGTCTGTGCTCCCATTGATCTCTGAGTTGACCCCAATTCAAGGTAGTCCCTTCACACTGTGAGTGTCACTATACAACTCTGACTCACGCTGACTGTGGAAGAGAGAGTGTTGGTGTCTCTGCACCCAGACCTGCTCTCTTTAAAGCCTGGGCAACCCACTAATGGATATCTGAGAGTTGGTTTTATCTAGAAAACGCACCTAGTCAGAATTGCCCTGGTGCTTCTTGTTTGAGGGTGAGCACAGCTAGGAGTGTGCTGCTGGATGCATAAGTGGCTAAGAAGAGTCCTTACTATCTTCTTTCCAAATAGGCGGCTGTGCAAAGCTACAAACTGACGTATGTTTATACACGTGTGTGTGTTTCTACAAATGCACATGTTTCTGGCTTGCTGGTGCAGTTAAGAAAAACTTCTGCTCTGAGTCTGAGGATGACTGTGACTTACCTTCTTTCTTCAGGAAATTTGCACCGAGGTGTTCAGTGTGTAAGGAGCCCATCATGCCAGCCCCAGGACAAGAGGAGACTGTACGCATTGTTGCCTTGGATCATGACTTCCATGTCCAGTGCTACCGATGTGAGGTTAGTATTCTAATCACGTGAAGGACAGAAAGCAAAGGTTGGCTTAATTTCATCACTGCCTCATATTATACACACAACAGGCATACCCTATTGTAACACTGGCTCTACAATCAAATTACTTCATTGACTTCAGCATGCAAGGAATTTTTCGTCATTTATATCAGCACAAATGAGAAGAAAATCAGGTCCCTTGTTTATAGCAGGTTCATTAGGAGAGCAAGAGAATGTGACTCAGGTAATTAGGGCTTAATATTGGAGAACTTCATAAATTATAGCTTGGACACAAAAGTTGCTCTTGTTTAAGTTCTTAAAATGAAAGCTAATGCATGTTAGAATTTGATCAAGATTGTACAGGAAACTCAACATATGGCTCTGGCTTGAAGAATTTTAATGGACACATAAACATGATCATTCTTGTTTTGTGCAGTGCTTTTCGTGCTACTTTCCTGTTCAGTTTCATTACACACTTCATATAATTTTGATGGTAAGAATCTGAAGACTGAGAATAAAAATCACCTTCAAGCAATTAACATGTGGGAACAGCTGTGTTAGGGAACCTTCAAGAATTCTTCAATGCAAGTATTATTTGTTGGATAATACATCAGCCAGATGGCAGGCTGAGAAAATGAGACCAAATGTATTTCTTATGACAGTTGCAGGTTTTAATAACTAACTAGAAAGAATGATGGACCAAGGCTTAAAAGTCCAGGGTGAAACTTAAGGCATCTGGTTCACTTCTTAGTCTGACCTTGGCTATGTGACAGCCCATTATTTAGGCCCAGTTTTTTAATGGTGCTAGGGCATTCCTACACTGAGTTTTGTAGAGCCTCATTCATGGTACACCATGTGCCTATGCTGGGTGCTGAGATACCTAGGCTTCGTGCAAATGAATGTCAGAAGTAAATGCACTGGAGAGCACAGGATACACTCACTTGGTCTTGATCTCCACATGCCTCAGCTATCTCAAAAGGAATAATAATGCTGTTCCTCTTTCTACCACTTGCTTGCCAGGTAAATTTACAAACACAGGTTTATGATGAAAAAGTATGGCCTCTAAGCAAACCATAATCCTGTCACCACAGCACTGTCAGCAGTCTTGGGTCAAGTGGTTGCCTGATCACACAGTGAGGGATAATTCCCAGCTTTCCTTCCAGCTATACTTAGCCTTATGTACTTAGGGGCTGAGGTCTCTGGAGCAGGTTTTAGGCCTTTTAGTGGGGTTTCCATGTCCCTGTCTCAGTGACATCCTTCTTTCAGCCACAACTTTTTGGGACAATTGCGATACAAACACAGGTGACACTTCTGGCAGGGAAGACAGGCAGGGAGCTTGCTTAGCTGTCACACCTGGAATAGAAGCTATAGCTTTATGGCATTAACTCTTCCAGGGGAGATTACCTGCAGTCAGGTGTTGGTACTGAACTTCGTTCCCAGTGATGCTTCTTTTTATCCTTTTTTGCATTAATAAACATGTGCTTAAGTTTTATGTTTTCTCCAATGCTAAAGACTTTTCCTCCCTCAGCAATGTGAAGGGAATAATCTCCTTTTATTTTCAATGGTATTAAATTCAGAAGAGACCTTGGGAACCCATCTTCTCTGCAGCATTTTTTCTTATCACAAAGTGATTTAATCATGAAAGACATCACGTACCTCAGCTTCGTGCTTTACGCTGACGCAGGCTAGATCTCTTACAAGGTAGAGAGTGAGGAGAGACTTCCTTTGACTAATAGATTCCTTGCTTAATGTTGTTCTTCTTACTTATTTACTTTGCTTATTTTACTTTGTTTGCCTATGTCCTAGGACTGTGGTGGCCTTCTGTCTGAAGGGGACAATCAGGGCTGTTATCCTCTGGATGGGCACATCCTTTGCAAGACCTGCAACTCTGCTCGGATCCAGGCTCTGACGGCCAAGGCCAGCACTGATCTCTGAGTATCAACTGTGACCCTCCCCCAGGATGCCTGTTAGGGGATATTGCACAAGCTTTGCATGATTTCTTTCCAGCCTAGGGTCTGAATCTCTGTTTTAAAAAAAAAAAAAGTAAAACTGGAAGGCCTTGGAACAAGAGGGCAGTTTGTGAGGCCATGTTCAGACTGCCCATGGCAGGCACCTAACTTAGACATGACTTTTCAGGAGTGAGTCAGAGCACCTGCTGTCTCTGCAGCTGGTGGAGATAGGTGGTCATAGCACCTAAGTTATCTGCCTGAAGGAGGCCTGAACATGGTTCTAACTTTATTTCTGTATTTGATTCCTGTCTCCTAAGTACGTGAAGGTAGGTGAAAAATGGCTGAGCTAGTTCTTTCTTCCAAGTTATTTGAGAACCTGACTAGTTGTCATTGAATTCACAGGTTGACTTTAATAGGATCTGGGTCACCAGTGAAGTAGCTCCTGTGCCCTAGAAGATGCGAGAGCAAACTTGGCACTCCTCTCATCACAACACAAACAATGGAACTTCAGTGTACTGCACCTAAGAGTGCAGGTGTGACCTTGTATTCTTTGAACACAGATTTGTTACCTATATCTGTTTTCTTAGGCCCTTACTTGTCTCCATTCCCTTCCAGTTTCATAGGATTTTTTCTTTTTCTTATGAAATTATATTTTACTATTGCATAAATTTATCCAGTAATGATGCTTCCAATTCATTATGAATGAGCAATCACAGAAAGAAGTGAGCTTGCACACACTACACACCACACACACACACCACACACATACACCCCCCCCATGTGCTTTTAATTTACCAGAGGTGGAAGCCAATCATGTCTGTTAAGAAAGTGTTTTAAGGATGTGGAGTGTAAACACATTTTTAAATTCCCAGTGGTTTAAAAAAAAAAACAACACAAACCCCAAAAAAGACTACATAGAATTGCAGTGCAAAGCCTTGCTCAAAAAAATCTTCAGCCACTCTCACACCCCATTCTAGTGGGGCCACTGGTGGTGTTGGTTTCTAGGTAGACATTTAAGCAACAGAGTCTTGTTCCATCTCCTGTTTATTGCAATGGGAAGATTTTCCTTCAACTGTAACAGGTATTGAATCAGGCCTTGGAATATACATTTCTCTGATGTTAACACAGATGATCTAGAGTTCTTATAAAAAAAATAAGAATCTTACTTCAACAACAACAAAAAGATTCTCCTAAATACATGCTGTTGTTTAGTTTTTATGTTACAAAGGCTCAAGAAGGTATTAAAACCTTCTCTATGCCATTCCGAAAAGCAAGCTTTTTTTTTATCCTCTTTCATTTTCCTCCCAGCCACTTGTAACTTCTCTCTGGTGAGATGTCATTGCATTAGCGTGCTGGGCCAGCAGCAGCATTTTCATCTTCAGAATTAATACATAAGTCAAGGTAAAGCTGGGCGCACATGATCTTTTTTTCTCATGTTGGGTTGGTGGTGGTTTTGGGGTGGTTGTTTTTTTGGAGGGGTTGTTTTTTTAATTAAAAAAAATTAGAAATCCACGGCACTCTGAGCAGCTGTAATATTCTTGTTCATGAAACCCATAATAACTAAGGTGCAAATTACATAGTGAGGGAGTAATTTTCATATCACTGAATTGACATTAAAATCTTATTTGCAGATGTAATCAAAGAAAATACCTTTCTTTGCACTTAACAAATCAAGAAGCAGAACTGAAACAGTTTCAGGCTGATTGACCATATAGGTGACAAACTGGCACTTTTCAAGAGTAAGTTATAAGTTTTTTCATGCATCCACTGAAAATAAGAATGTGGTGCTTTTATCTTTGCTGTCTATAACAGAAGCCTTATGCGATTATACTCACCAATGCTGAAAAGTTAGATGAGCCAGACCGATTGGAAACAAAGGGAAAAATTCAGGTACTCACTGCAGCTCATGCAAATGGTGCATTTCCTTTCAGTTTAGTACTAACCTTTATGTTAGAGCACTGTGAAATTTAATAGTAAATTCAAATACAGAAATACCAGCCTGAATCCTCTGCTTCTTACATGGTTTATATGTTGGCAGACTCCACCAGTGTCAGGGAAGTTTCCCAAAATTCCCAGCTCAGAATGAATCCTTCTTTGTAGAAGGGTGGCATCATTAAGAAAAAGAAATCGTTTTCCAACACAGTGGCTGTGCTGAAGCAGTTTTGCCTTTTTATACTACATTTCTACGTGGCCTTCAACAGTTTTACTGCTTCAGACGTAAACAAATTTTTTTGCACCATGACTCCTGCCAGGTTCCATCTGGGTTCCTGCTCCCTGAACCATGGCACGTAAGGGACTTCTGAGCTCACTTCTTTCTTTATGTGCAGTCTGCACCAACACCCATCAAAAAAACCTCACAACTATTGAGCAAACCCAGTGTTAACTAACCATACAAAACCATGGGAGGTCATATATCCCTGGGGAGGATTTTTCATCTCTGCAAGCACAGGGTATGACGTGATGCTCTTTGGTGCAGAATAAGTTATTCATCAGGCAGCAAATGTAGATCTGATCTTCCTTACTCTTGTTAGTGTTAAATCAAGTGGCTGATGAGACTCTCCTGAATAACACTGGAGTAGCTGACGGAAACAAGCTATTGTGCCTTTCTGCAGAATGTGGTTGAGACTAAGGAAGACCAAAGTCCAGAGCCTCAGGGCTTTTTATGGCCCTGCCTTAGGAGGAGCAAGCCATATGGCTTCTTGTCTTCTGCCCTCTGCATGAGAGGGCTTCTTTCCAACTTCCCAGGGATGTTATGGGAATTAATCACAGATTGGCCCAAACTACTGATTTTTTGGAGTTCTGTCTTGTCTTTCCAGAGAACTTTGCTGGTATGTAGGTTTGGGATTCCAGCCCATTTCAAAGCTAAGGGCTAGCCAGGAGATCTAGATCTGAATCCTCTATTATTAGGGTGCTGAGGTGAGTTGGGCTGGCATGCAGGGAGGTGAGAGCCAGATTTTTCAAGCATTAAATACTTCATGGATGGAAGATGCTTGACGAAGATTGAGCAGTGTTGATATTTGAGGTACTGCGGCTAATTTCTAGACCTGACGGATCTGGGCAAAGGTATAATCGTGCTTTTGTTTTCACCCCTGAAACACCAAAGCCATCTGCCTGTTGGATGGAGGGAGTGTCCAAAACACTCCTCTTTATTTTCTGTAGTGCATGTGGTTTTGGCTTCTAAAATTGTTATAAATATATTCGGAAGATATTGCATAAATGTATGTACATCGCAGAGGCTCTCACCACCCACATGTGTGTGGAAAACTCCCCTCTGATGCTTCAGGATTTAATTAGGAAAATGTTGGTGGACTTATCTCAATTGCACTGCAATTAAGAACCACTGGGATATTTCTTGATCACAATAATTGTCATGTATTTATAATATATCCTCTTTTATCTTTTCCAAAGAAGGAGTCCTTTTGCCAAAGAGACCTTACTTCACTAAGGTGAACTTCTTAGCCATGATAAAAATTCTCATCATCTGTGGCTGTAGTAATGTCTGAAGTGTTCCTTTCAGAAAGAATTGGAAGATCACACAGACATTTCTGTTCAAGTCTGCAGTTTTTGCTCATGCTGCTTTAACTTTGTCTAGCATTTATGGGCAAGTAGAGCCTGATCCCGTGATTTGTGTGGCCAAACGGGCCAGGTTCTAATTTAGCAAAATATTTAAGTCCCTGGCGTTTGTTTAAGCACAGGCTTAAAGCCATTGCATGGTGTGACATAAGCCATGGGTCTACAGCCATTAATACCAGACTGATTCTGTATCACCCAGTCAGACATATTTGACCTTGGTAGGATGTAGGCACAGTCAAATTTCTGTCAAATTACCCAAAATGCATGAAATGGCTTCTGTGTCACTCTTATGCCAACTTCAGGAGGGCGCATGGTAGCTGATCCGATGTAACATCTGGACAACAGGAATTATTACAAGATCAGTGCTTTGTGTTCGGTGGCTGTGGCACTTTCCAGTTGTCGCAAGTAGCCCTACAGCCAGATTTACTGGATCTTTGAACCATGGCTTTAAAACTGTCTACTTAAACTTTCTCCAGAAGATTGGGTTGCCTTGGTTACCACCCAATCCTTAAGCATATCCCCAAGGCTAATAATATTTTGTGAATATGATGGTTTTATTGTCACTTAGTTTAATCACAGCCTGAACATTGCTTTTAAAAACAGAAAGCCACACTCATTGCCTTAGTCTATCAGATAATGCACCCTTAATTCTGTTTTGGTGGAGTTTTTTTAATATTTTAATTCTTAGATTTTTGTCACGGCTGCGAAACACTTGGGTAATGACTCAATCATAGAGGTGTGGGAGTACCAAAGTGTTTATCATAGTGAACTCTACATAATACAGTTCATCCTGACAGCAGGAGCAAGACTTTCATGAGACACAGGCCTTAAATTCATTTTCTGCCTATCAGCAAAATGTGCCTGATAAGAATGAGAAAAAAAGTGTCTTTTAGAGAAATGGTGATTGTTGAAGAGAATATGCAACAAGCCATACTGAAAGCTCTTTGGGCCTGCTGCGGTTGCTGCCTGGCGTGGTCATCCAAGCCTACTATAGGTTTGATAAATGCTAGTTCCTTTTGATTTTGAGAAAACCCAGCAAACAAGCGATAACAGGACCCAAGAGATGGTCCTTGAGAGAAATCCTATCTTTGCTTTCCTTCAGCATCAGAGATAAATGCTAGACACCTGGTGCTTTAGCTGAATGGCTCAGAAAGGATTTGAGTTTATAATTGTTTCCTTTTGATATCTAGTTCCTGCAGTTGATTCATCATGTTGATTCGCTATTTGTTCATTGAGTTAGGTTGACTACACCTTGTATAAACTTCAGTACTGTAAGTCAGGGCTGTCAGAGAGAGATGTGCTGAAGAGACTCACTGTGCTGCAATTCCCATGAGAAAACACTAGTGATGGTAATTGAGGGCTTGTTGTCAAAAGATAGCAGGAATACTTAGTACTGTCTACAGGTTAGTACAGTACAAACTAAGAGTGAGCTGCGAGAACACTATTTCCAGGTAGAGCTGGTTACAATTTTTACACTAAATTTTGTGATGTCAGAAGGGCTATTTTTTTAATAAGAAATTCTCTCAT